ATGCAAATTAAAATAATTTTAATACATCAAATTATATTATTAGTCGATCTATTATGCTTAAGTGATGAATTAATTCTCTATATTCATTATTTTTTTAATTTAAATTTGTATTTTTGACACAATTAGTTCATAAATAATATAAATAAATTATTAGGACTTAAAATAGTTAAATTAGTGAACAAAAACTAAATGAAAAGTTTATACATGATTAATAGTATAATTTAACTTAATAAATTTAATAATTACAATTTCAATCAGAACTACAAAAATAATTAAAATTAAATACATAAATTAAATTTATAATTTATACATAATAAAATAAATTAATTTTTTTAACAGCATATTAAGGTTGTAGTGACTATGCCTATTCGTGTTCGAAGATGGACTGGTTTCGGCAGCCAAAAACTATTAGTGTAGCAAGAGGGACCTGCCCTCAATTTTTTTTTTTTTGCGTAATTACCTTTTAAGTTCCAACAATTTTCAAGTTAATTAACTTAAGCTTTCTCATCTTCATTTTTTTTTTTACAAAAAGATATAAATATTAAAAATATTAGAAAGCCAACAGTAGATTGAGATGGCCAATGTATCATAGAAATTAATTGTCCAAAAAAGAGTTGAGAATCAAAACAATGACCACAAGTTTCTTGTCTACGAATAGGGGACACATTTTAATGGGCTGCATAGGATTCTCACTTCTTTAATTTATAACATCTCCCACGTGTACTAAAAGTATTGCTTAATGGTTAAGTGTTTAAATTATTATTATTTTTTATTTTATACATGTAGTAAAGTGCTTCTCAAGCTTCAAGTGTGCTAGTCATTTTCATTTTAACAAATATTATTTTGAAAGGAAGAATAAGACTATCAAAATCAGAATTTAATGTTAATATTATAAGTTTAATGGATAAAATAAAAAATTATTTGTATTAATTATTAAACTAAATTTAATATAATAAATTAATCAAATATCAATTAAATTACTAAAAATTTAATTTGAGTTAATTGTGTGATTAAAGGCAAAGTTTTGGTTCTACTTTAGTAAAACAAAGATTAAAAGAGTTGAATATTTTAAGATTGCCAAATCAGAACTCCACCATGCTCCGTGTGTTGTTGAAAAACTGAAAAGAAAAGAAAGCAGTCTACTCTCTTTGTTGAATGCTTGATGAATTAATAATCAGATAAGACATGTATCGGTCCAATAGATGTTTGAACTACCCAAAAATGACATTGTCTTCCTTTTTATGTCTTCTGTTCGTGTCCAATGTCAACAATTAATGGACAACTTTTTCATTTATATTTGCTTTTTAGTTTTTATTTGTTAGTGATATTTTATTATTTGATCCATTAATAGGATGGTTAAATATTAATAGATAAAATAATAAGACAATTAATAGTTTAGATATCAAAACAAAACAAAAAAAATACCAATATCGAAAAACAGAGATGATTAAGAAAGCACTTGCCACACAACAATTAGTGTGAATAGGTGCCTTACAACAAGGACCGGCCTCATTTACAAATACAATTAGGACAAAAAAGTATTAATTTAATCTTTTTGGCGCTGTTGTTGTTATTGAGTTACAATAACTTGAAGCTGATCGGACTCAACTCGGAGGGAAGCTCTACAAAGCGGGCAACTGGACTCACTGCTGAGCCAATGATCAACACACTCGGGGTGATACGAATGGTTACAGTGCGGTAAAACCTTAACTTTCTCCCCATCTTCGAACACTCCAAGGCAGATACAGCACTCGTCTGAACATCCCATCGAGCGTGAACATAGTTACCGGCAAGGAATTGATGGTAGCAGGGTCGAGACCTCGAGCTGAGGATCTGGAAGCTCGTGGGACGTAGGGGACGGCGCGTTTACGATTGAATCTGCATGCCCATCGGGCGTAAACGAAGACGAGGGCGACAATAAGTGTGACGAGGACGAGGACGACGATGAAGAAGAGGGTTCGGCCATGGATTGGAAGTGATGGTCTTCGAGCTCGGCATAGTGCCAGTGGAAGGGTGGGAGTGTTGGGAGAAGCCATTAAGGAGAAGGAGAAAGTTTTGCTTTTTTTCCCCGGTGTTTTATAACGGTGGAGGTTGAAGCATGTCTGGTAGTTGGGGGGAGTTGAGGGGGAGGATCTTTGTCCCAAATCTTGGTTTTATAGTTGTGCTTCTGGTTTTTTACGGCTGACCTAAATTAGTAAATTTCAGTAAGGAAAAAGTTAACGAAACCATGTAATGCCCCCTTTATCTCTCAAAAGTTTAATACAAATATATAAATCCTCTCTATTTAAATACAAAGATACTTATATTTTATTATTGTGTGTGTTTTAAATTACAAAATAATAAAACTTTAATTAATTAAAATTAGGGGGAAATATTTAAGAAAAAATTATTAGGAAAGAAGTAAAAAATATAAAATATAATGTTGGTCCCTAATTTTGTCCATAAGCATAGTAGAAGAAAAAATATATATAAATTCAGTTGGGCAAAAGTACATATGTAACACAATCCACCAGAAGAATTGATTTGGTACTCATTTAGTAGGCATGAAACTAAAGGAAGAAAGACACTTTAATCCTTGATTAATGAGATAACATCATGTTAATCCCTACTAATATTAAAGTTCTAATTTAAACTATTTAATGCATTAGTTAAATAAAAATGAAACTTTTAATTAAGATGAAAATGAACAGAACGTTCGATGAATTATGCGTGAACCATTATTTAATGTTTGTTTATTTTCATTTAATAAGTCAAATAAACGAGTATGAAAATATTTTATGTTTATTTAATAAATAAATACAACAAAAATATATTCAATTCATTTATATTCAAGAATAAGCTCATTTATAAACCTATTTATATGTTGTTTATATGATTCTTATTTTTTTCTTTTTTTATATTTAAATATTGATAAAGGTAGAAACTAAATTGAACAAGGTAAATTTGAAGTTATAAAAATTATAAGCTTAAGGACTGTGGCATAGTTCACTATTTTTCTTTGATTTGCAAGTAAAAGAGTAGAAGTACGGGTGAGCAAAATTGGACTCGATTCATAAAATCATTTTTTTTCAATTTCGATTTATTCAAGTTAAATTACTCGAATTATCAATTTAGTTTTCAAGTTCGAGCAAAGTTAAAATTAAAATTTTCGAGTAACTCGAAAAACTAAAAATTTGGATGAGTTTTGACATATTGAGATTTAGTCCCTGATTTCCTATTCCTCCCTCATTTTAAGTCAAATTTTAACTAAATTTGAACCACATGCTCTTAAACCATCATAGAAAACATATGAATTTTCATTTACACTTTTTAATAATTTTTTATTTTTTTCAATTTAGTCCCTCAATTTTGCATAATTTCGTATTTCTTCAATTCATCCTTTATTTTAATTACATTTTTGACCAAATTTAAATCACATGCTCCACTACCACTATAAAATACCAATGTAACTTCAATTCCTATTTTTTAACTAAAAATGTACTCTCTTTTTTAATTTTCCCCCTTAACTTTGCATTTTATTCAATTTAATCTTTTAATTACAATTGTTTACAAATTTATTCACTTCAATTCTTAGTCTCCTTTATACTTCCATCAATCTTTTATCCTCAAAATACATTCTTTGAAATATAATATTGTAAATATATTTTATAATTTTAGATTGTATGTGATATAGTAAATAACATTATAATGTAAAAAGAATATGAAGATACGTACATATATATATATATATATATATATATATATATATATGCTTAGAGAAAGTTGAAAGTTTAAATCAATCCGTGCTATAATACGATGAATAATTACAAATAAATTTTGTATAGAAACTCAAACAACTCGACTCGAATTTCTTAAACTCGGCTAAAAAAATTTTAAGTTTAGTTCGAGTTATAAAATACAACTTGTAAACTCGAATAATTCAAAAAAAATTACTTGACTCGACTAGAATCAATCAAATGCTCACCTCTAAGTAGAAGGAGAGTATTGGTTGTTGGACGCTAAACAAATATATTTAATAATGTTAAACAAATATGTTTACGAGAGATAAAACAAGACATTAGGAAAATTTCCGGTCAAGGCAAATTTTCCTTGAAATTTAGCAAGACTGCATAAAGGCCGAAAGTTAAGTGCTTTCCAAGTCCAGGTAAATTTTCCTGGTGCAGCCGAGAGCTTAAAATAACACAAGTCATATGAGAAGGTATGAAATATACAAGAAAATAGAAGTGAATCTATATTCACAACTCCCGTATAAATGATATTGAGTATGAAACGAATCTAAACAATAAGATTTCAAAATGAAATCACTAAGATAACATGAATTTATTAAATATCAAATAAATCAATCTTTTAGTTAAGCAAATAAGATTAAAAACTGTACAAAATGAAATATCAAACGAATCACAGAATAAGATTACAAAATGACTCTAAACAATTCCAGCAAATGTTGAGTTTAGTAGTATATCACATCGAAAATTCAATATTCAAAGCTTAAAGGATAACATTATTAGAAAAATTAATCACAGCTCCATCTAAATGATACTAGATTTTTTTTTTTAAAAAAACTGAAGTTAAAATTAAATCATAAAATAATCTTGTATCCAATTGATAAGAAGGTTAAGAAATTAGAAATCTCACGCCCAACTTTATTGAATTAGGGTTAAACCCTAAATGAAAACTCTTCAACTTACCTTGCACCAAAATCCCACAATAAAATATAACCTGGCTTTTGCCTTGTATACCTTGAAAATCTCTCAAACTAACATCCAACATTTTTCCTCAACATGCAACTGTTTAATATAATGAAAATAAAAGACAAATCTTTTCCTTGATCTTTGCTCTTTGGGTAGTATTGTAGTTATATAGGAGAAACCCTAGATATTCATATTACCCAGACAATCAATTCTGCTCCTTCGGATCTTCATCTTTCAAAAGAGTCCAACTCTTGAGGATACATTGAAACTATGGAGAAAAACTTGCATGCATAATTGCAAGAAAGTCCCTCAAAAATCAAGAATGAAACTAGGATCCATGTAATCCCAAATGAAAGGTGGCGGATATTCATCGATATCATCTGTTAAGGGCCCTATTGATGGAGATCCGGGTCCAACTGTCAAACCCGTATCCGGACCCGCTGATGCAACCGATGACAATGACAAGCTCGAACCAACAGAACCCACCAGGGAGTTGAAATATTCGTACAAGGAACCTTGTTGGTGATGATCATGGTGTTGTAGTTGTTGATATGTGTACGAGGTTTTCAGTGTCGGGTCACCAGTGTTGACAACGACACTTGGTTCGGTTTCTTGCACGGTGTGAAACCCTTGCTGTGGATTTTGCACCATGGATGGATAAACCCCATACGGCAAAACCCTAGATGGAACACTTAAAGAAGCTTGGTGAGTAGTACTAGGGTTCGAATAACTAAACGAAAACCCGGAAGGAAAAGGAAGCAAAGGCCTTAAAGTTTGAGTCGACGATGACGATGAAGAGACCAAGGGTTGAAGATTGAGCTGAGCCTTGGAACCGTAGAGTATGATAGCTGCACGATCATAGGCTCTAGCTGCTTCCTCCGCCGAAGCGAAAGTGCCGAGCCATTTCCTAGAATGTTTCCAAGGCTCACGGATCTCAACCACCCATTTACCCCAACCCCTTTGCCTCACACCTCTATATCTAAACTTGTTATTACCCGGGCCATCTTTGCCTTTACACTTCCTCGTAGTGGAACTATTTTTGTTGACCCCCCGGTGGGTTGGTATTGGTGTTTTCAGACTCGGAGCTTTTGGAGTCGTGGTCAGTGATGGTGGTTTTAGCGGTGGCAATTATATCTTGGGGAAGGCGAGACAAAGAAGAGTGGTCCATAGAGAGATGATTTAATGGAAAGAAAAATCCTGCCTCGTTCTTTGGTGTTGATTGGTCGAGCAGTGAGAAAGAGCTAAGCCTGTGGTTTGGTTTGAATGTGAAGGCTGTTAATGGTGGATGAGGGCGGTGGCTCTTTATATGCTTAAATATTTGGGGGGGGGGGGAGAGAAAGATTGCTCATTAGTGAAGGAAGTAGGGCATACGTTTTTTTGTTTGGGAAATCGGAATCATTTAATTTGATTTTTTATTTAGGGATTTCTCTCTCTTCTTTTTGCAGGTTTCATTTTAGGGGAAAATATTGAGTTTTTGGTTAAGTTTAGAAAGCCTTCTTCAATGAACTTTCTTGGAATAATATATCGTTGATTCTTGGGTTGACTAATAGTTACGAGCTAGGTCTCTTTGTTTCCTTGTTATCTTTTCTGAAAAGTATTTCCTTTATTTTTCTAATATTTAGTTTAAATAAAATAAATAATTACTATAAAATTCATTATAAATCAACGGAAAAAAGGTTAACTTATGTTATTGTAATATAATTTATATATTTTTGATAACTCATTTTTTCAATTTATTCATTATATTTCTCAATTAACTTATATTATTGTAAATAAGTATGAGGGAAAAAAAAGACTATTTTACATCATTATAAGTAAGTTAATAATATTTTGCGTAAGCTATATGTATGATCACTTCGTTATTATTATTTTTATTTTGACTATTAATTTTTAAATCTTATCTATTTAAATGATATTAATCAAATAACTTACTATTAATGTTTAACAAAACGGTGCATCTCAGTTATATGGGCCTCGAGGTGAGGCGTGACCTGCTCCTGTTGACACGACTCTTCAATGTTGGATTAGAGGTCATGCATGCATGTTTTATTCTTCAAGATCAATGTTTATGGTATTCTAATTGAGGAAATTGCCTACAAAGGTTGTCAAAAGCTCCATAAAACATCAGGAATGATTGATAATTTATTGGGTTGTTGATGTCTTGAGGCGCCTCTTCGTTATAAATGGATTCAAGATATCTTTGTCCCGAGAGGGTCATTGCCCCCTCTATTTAGGACTTTAAATTTTAATTTAGTTTGATTTTACTTCTCTTAATTTTTATAGTTAATTTTACTTTATTCCCTTATTTTTTATAATTAATTGTACTTTACTCCTTGAGTTGGAATTATGGCTGTCTCTAGATTCAAGGAATGGTACATTTGAAGTATTCAGGGGGAAATGGGAAAAAAAGTGATCTTGGTCGTTTTGATTGTGGGGATCCATATTTGATTGATATTTGAAGATCAAAAGTAATCCATGTTCACTGCTTTAATTGTTGATGGGAACAAATTTGGTTCATCGATTGTGAAGGGTTCACCCCTTCTGATTATGGCGGAGAGTCGTAGTCGATGAGGAAACGATCGTTAACTGATCTTATTTTGTAAAAGATAAGGAAACATCGAGTGTAGAAGAACAAGAAGAAACACCCTCTTAGTCGAGACTAAGAATATTTATAATGACTCTAGTTGATTGTGTCATGCATAAGATAATTATGATTATTTGTAGACTAAACAAATTTGATAATTTAATCTTTGGATCTCGTTTCGATAAGTTATTTAACCTGTCATTCTCTTATTAACCCACTATAGTTGATTTGAAAAGTTGTTGAGAACTCTAATGAGAGGAGATATAAAATATGAAGTCCTAGGAGGAGGAGGATTGATAACCTCCGGAGATTATCTTCGAAGATATATATAATAAACTTAAAGTAATTGGTCAACGAATTAAATAAATACCTAATAATTATGATTTTTAAGAAAATAAAACTACAAGCTTGGCCCTAATCAGCTGCTAGCAAACTAGAAACCAAATTAAATAGTGTGGGAGTGGTGGTTTGTGGTCCTTGTTAATATATATAGTGTGAGGGATTTTAGAGTGTTAAAAAGGTTTGATCCTGGATGGACCTAAGGTACTTGCTTCTTCATGAAGTAATCCTTCACATCGATGCAGTATATAATTGGATGAATTAGCGTCATCTTGCTTGTATGCGGCAGATAAATGCTTAAAAACACACTTCCAAGATGGGAGGAACAGTTTGGTCACAAATATTGATATTATATATTATGCTTAAAACCAGCTATATAAATTTGATGCACGTTGTGAAGTAATTGAAAGAAGCTTATTTAATTGATAATATATAATTTGAAAAGTAAGTTAAAGAGGACTTGGTTGGTATGGCGGCAGAAAAGTAGAATGAATGTAGAGGTCGAGCATTGATAAAAAAAAAATAGAACTTTTCATGAGAGTTATGAGGTGTCTTCACGCAAGACGACCAAAGAGTAGCGGTTGAGTTGATCAGTGTTTAACATGTTTGTTAAAAATTTATTATTTGACTCGACTCGTTAAATTCGTTAAAATTTTATTCGATTAGTTACTTGTTAAGCCCATTATAATTTTTGGATAGGATAATTAGGGTTTGATTTTTAAATTTAATAAATAATTTAATATTTTCTTATTATTTAGTATAAAATTATTATATTAGTAAATTAATAGTAATTATTAATTAATAATTTACATATTTCTTATTATATTTATGTAAATTAGTAATTGCGGTTGAGTTGATCAGTGTTACTGTTTGTTAAAATTTATTATTTGACTCGACTCGTTAAATTCGTTAAAATTTTATTCGATTAGTTACTTGTTAAGCCCATTATAATTTTTGGATAGGATAATTAGGGTTTGATTTTTAAATTTAATAAATAATTAATATTTCTTATTATTTAGTATAAAATTATTATATTAGTAATTAATAGTAATTATTAATTAATAATTTACATATTTCTTATTATATATTTATGTAAATTAGTAATATTTAGATTTTTTAAATGTATACTTTTTAAGGTAATTACTAAAAAAATTAATGAACTACTCGTGAATTTTTGAGTTGAGTTGGATTTTGTCGACTCAACTTGTTAAGGTCTTAGTCGAGCTCAAGTTCAAATTAAGTAAATCAAATCGATTTGAGTTTGAATTACTCACAACAACTCAACTAATTCACTCATAAGTACTCCCAAGTGAAGAAGTGCTTTCAAAGCAAAGCATGTGGTGGGGTATTCTACTCTAATTAAGTTTTGGTGAGTGATTGTTAGAGGTTGTGGAGGGTTTTACTTTGATCTTGAGTTTTTCTTGGCTTTAAGAGGAGCTGGAGTAGTTGTTTTTTAGCATTTAGTGTTAGGTTTTTAGTAGGTTGTTTTTGTTAATCTGTATTTCTGTGGCTCTAGTCTTATCGGTTGCCAATCTGTTTTTTGGGAATTCTTCAGTTATTTGTTTTCTGGTTGGTGGTGGTTGTCCAGTGGTCTGTGCTTTGTGGGTAGTTTTGTCTCTTGTTTTCGGTGATCTGCTGGTTTGTTCGTGTGTTGTTGCTACGAAGAGGCAATAGTTATGGCCAGTTAACAGAAGGGGTGTGTCCAGTTAATAGAAGAATGTGATAGTTTTGGTAGGACGGAGCTTGAAAATGTTGCGGTGGCAATGTTTTGTGTGGGGTAAGGCAGAGGACGATATGCAGTGATTCAAGTTCAGGTGATTGAGCTCTCGAGCTAGCTTTCTTTTGAGAAATAAGGAGGTTGTCGGAGATGGTGCTCTGACATGTTGGTCCTCGCGTGATGCTCTTCTTGTGGAAATTAGGAGTTTGACTGCAAGCTCCTATTCGAGCTTCAAGGCTACTTTTTTTTGTTATGGTAACATGTCATGTGGCTGATTTTAATATGGTTATTCCATTGCTTCGCTATGCCAGATGAACGTTAAAGCTAGTGTATTGGAGACATCTTGTATGGGTAAGTGGAATGTGAGGTGAAGGGTGATGTTGCCATATATAATATATATATATATATACCATTTTATATTGTATTGGTCCTATATATATATACCATTTTATATTGTATTGGTCCTAATTTCCAGCTTGTGATGATTGTGGTGGGCTCCAGGTGCTTAACGGTGTAGTGCACGAGGATTTGGTTTTTGTGTGTGAGGAACTAGGGTTTGTTTCGAAAGTGATGGTGTTGTATAGTTTGGAGCAGATTGAGCTTTCGGATTTAAAAATATTGTTATAGGCTTAGATCAATCTTGGTACGGGTGGTTACCAACGACTATTTTTTGGTGCATTTCCTTTATTTCGTTGCTCGTTGCGTCTGTCCCAATTCGTATGCTTCCCCATGTCCCAGTGTTGGTTCTTCGTTTCATGTTCTGGGTGTTGTTGAGTTTTTCTTATGTACTGGTTTGGGAATTACTGAAGGCTGGGGTTTGGTGTGTATGTTATAAGAGTTTATGTGTTCTATGTTCCTACCACCTCAAGGTGCACTCTTTTTCCTCCATTTAGGATTAGAAGTTTTTTTAATGAGGTCCTTGAGGTGGTGTACTTTGTTCCTCTTAATACAAAGTACCGGTTCCAAATGTAACATCTAGCACTTGATTCATATACATTAGTAGATGATAGATAATGACCTTGACCCCTAAAATAAAAAAAAGTATTAAAAATATTATATATTTATAATTTAATCCAATGTGCAACTGAATATCAACCTCTAAATATATATAATTTTATTATAATTTCTTTTTAATACAAACCCTGACCCCGTTATTATATATAAAATATTTGTGATTTGTTTTAGTGGTTGCATGTATGAGTTCTTCCATTATTCAGAAATAAGTGTGTTTTCCATCGTTTGCATTAATCAAGTGCCTCAGGCTTCAACTCTTACATTTGTTAATCCAACACCAATTCATTCACTAAATTTTCTTTAGAGTTATTAATCGACTATGTAAAGGTTTGATTTCTTTTAATATTTAAAGATTTATTGGGCGTAAAGAGATATGTTAGGCGTATGTATCCCCACAGCACATTCTAGACCTTCTATTGGGCTTTAAGTCTAGAGATTTTCCTATGAGATTGGTTCCATTTTCTTTATTGGAAATGTTCATAGGCCTCGTCCTATTGGCAACTAAGATTTTTTCCTTTGATGCCATTTTTTTTAATAAGGTAAACTACACTCAATTATGGAGTTAGTAACAATCATGACACTCTTCCTTTAAAAGTTATAAACATGCCTTTCAATTAAAATATTATTACAAACATATCACTGCAACGTTAAACTTGAAACAAGTGTTTATTATGACATGTTATAATAATATTTTTATTGCCTAAACTTATACATTCTATCAATTTTGTCATAATTAAAAAAAAATAAATTTAACCTTTCGTATTTAAATATTCCATCAATTTATTCTTTTTTACGATATTATCAAACCAAATGAGCCCATTAGATTAAAGCAGTGGTTGGATGTATTCTTCCAAAAACAGTAACAATTTATTGTTAAACTATTATTATACTAAGAAAATAACAGGAAAAAAATACAATATTTCTGAAAGAAACAACAATTTAAAAGAAGAAAAATGACTATTTTTTAAAATATAAATGCTTAAATTTATTTAATTATTTCTAATTACACCAGACTACGGGTTGTTTGTTTGACTCTTAATGCAACCATTCAACGCTGAATGTCAGCGTGTTTGTTTCGCACCTCTGAATGATTCAATGCTGACTGATTCAACAAAACAGTGTTGAATGATTCAACACAGAAGTACATTCTGAATGATTCAGAGCTATTATCAAACATCATGTCACATTCAGAGTCTCTGAATCATTTTGAAGTAAACAAACAGCCCCTACATCAATATACTCGTCTAATATTTAACGGCCAACGACATTTTTGTAATAATATTTAATTCGGTGACATGTTTGTAACTTTTAGAAGAGAAGTGACATTTTTGGTATCAAACCTATAATTAAGTAATATTGGGCGTAGTTTACCATTTAAAACTATTATTATTATTATTTTGAATTAATCACTGGTGTCTGATCTATTAACCGACTAGTTTTGAATTAAAATTATTTTAATATAGGGTTACCACATGTAATAAATGATTAAAAATTAAAAATAAATTATTTTAGAAAATTATAAAAAACCATTTATTTTTTAAAGTATTAATTATGCTTTATTTATTTTAAAAAATTAAAAATTATAAAAAAATATTATATATTTTTTTGGATAAGTAAAAATTTTATTATCCAAAATAGCAAAGTTTTGCTACAATCCAATCAACCAAACAACAAAAGAACACTATGCACAACTATACAAAAAACAGTGATTGGAAGAACTATAAGCCCCAAGCATTACAAAGGATTAGATTAGTATTATCAAGTCTATTGAAGTTTTTCCCCCTAAGACTAAACCGAACAACATCAATGATTTCAATAAGTAAAATTTCAGCATGTCTTGATCGTTTTTGAAAATATAAAATATTAATTATGCTTATTTTTTAAAAATACTGAAGTTTGTTGAAAATTATGAATTTTGAGGATGAAATTGATTTTTACTAAAGTTTATTTTTAAAAGATTTTAAACTTTGATGAAGCTGAATCTTTTCTTCTAGATCCATTGTTTTAACTTACTCTAAAGATAGATCATTACCTCAAAAAAATGATATTTGAATAAAACATTCTAACCGATAAAATATTTTCGACTTTAGAGATATTAAATTCGAGTTTTAAATTAGGTCATAGTTAATCATTTTTCTTACATCATAATTAGATTGGGAAGGTGTTTGAAAATTGAAGGGCAGTTTCCTAGTCTACACCAAGGGAGAGAGATGTGGGAGTTAGAGTTAGGTAATGATGATGTGCTTACCATTTTTCAAATGTTTCATTCCAAATCTCTCACAAAGATATTCCTTGGAGAATATTTAGGTGAAAAAATGTCAAATAACCTTGTTTATTGGAGCAAATCAAGGGGATAGTCACACTTATAAGAAATAAACAAAGAGAATCAATTCCATCATTAACTCATTTTGTTCAGTGTTTGATTATGGTATACCACTCCATAACATGATTGATGTACTTTATTTATACAATAGAGCCTCTCCCACGTTCCTTTTATACTTGTGTCAGACATGGTGATCTAAAAGGATTTGAATGCAACATTTGCATATCTAATAATTATACAATTAAAAGGTTAAAAGTGCTATATATAAGTCAGCTGCCAAATAGAATTATGTTTGAAATGCTTATCGTGTGTTAATGAAAATAATTTATGTGAATGAAGACTACTACTCCAACCTAAGGTCAAAACATACCATCGATCTAATAATAGAGTGCTAAATGTAGCGTGACCAAATCACACATCGAATGAGATAATTGACGATGTTTGAATCTAAGTACCTTTTAGTATGAGCAGAGTTATTAAGGGCATGAGAAGAATTTGTCTCTCTTAAATGTTTTCTCTAATAATAATTTATCTTTATTAATTTAAATATTTATCAAATAAAACTTTATTTCCCCCTAAATTTTTATTGATTTTTTTAAATTCCTATTAATTTTAAAATTAAATGATTTAACCCCTTGTATCATGTGATTCTTACTTATATTGGCTGGTAAGGATGTGAAAAATAGGCGTAATGTACAAGATTGAGATTTGAGGCATTAAGGCATAAAGGTTGAATTGTCGTGTTCAAAGGGCTAGAATTTTGAATTTCAGAATTAATTGTAAAAAACAACGACAGGTCTTTGCACATGGGAAATCCAGAGGATCGTATGGTCCTCATTTGTTGTAGCTTCCCCCCAAATATTCCATTAACATTGGAAGGGGACCTTGCCCTATGTTCAAGGGTGTAAATAAAAACAAAATTGAATTCCACTAAACTTCCAAATTTGAAACCTCACCATTCGACTATTTCTTTTTTCCTTTTTTAAAAACATGTTAGTGTTGCTGTATTCATGGCATATATATGTAGGCTGGAATTGATTTGAAACACAAAGCTTCAAATTTATTTTAATCACTTTTGATTTAAGTTCGGGTTGAGATAAGGATTAATTTATTTAAATTTAATTAAATATATAAATAAATTTAAAGATTATACTATTTAAAGTTGAATACTATAATTTTTTAAAATATATATATATAATAGAGATCATTGAATTATGTTTAAATAATAATTTCAACTCTCAAATATTTAAAAATGGTAGAATAATAGTTAAATTTATTAAATTATTATGAAATGATTATCACAATATTATATTGGGCATAAAATTTTAATAAATTTTATGATCATTTTATGATAATTTAATAAATTCAATGATTATTTAAAAGTTTAGATCAAAATAATTATTTAAACATAAGTTAGTGATTTTTTAATTTTTTTACCTTTTATTCTTTTATACAGTATATAGATTGTAAATTATCTATATTCATCACACTTTTAAATTAACAACATGATATTTAAATACATTCAAATATCTAACTTTTAATATAGAGCATTTGAATTTAGAGTAATCGTATAAAGGTAAATTATTTTGTTAAATGAAGAAAATGGTTTTTATTTCTTATTGAAATAACTAAAGTCAGTTAAAAAGAAAATTAATAAAAAAAAGTCAAAACTTAATTTTGGAGAAGGAAAGGAAAGGGCCAAAATGCAGTGGTCATCAAGAGCTGAGACTCCTGACCAGATGTTCATACCTCTGGGCGGCACTTGTGGGGACCGCCACCATCGCCTTCACCGCATCCGTCTGATTAAAAACCGGCAGAAGCAGACAGTACCGATCACAGCAAATCGGTCCCACGTTAACCGGCTTAGCCAACCCAAAGTCAACCTTCTCTAGCCCCAGCCTTGACCATTGCGACAGTATCAAAACTCCAACCGAGTCCGGACTCGCTCGACTCCGGCTCACCGATTCCACCACCGATATAACGAACTCGCTATCAACTCGTTCTTTCGCTCTCTTCACCAGCATTGCTGCGTACCCCAAACCTCTCTCCGTTAAATCTTTGACGCTGGTTTGAGCGCAGCCTAACACGAATGCGTTGCCGTAGAACCCACTGGGTAGACTCGGTTTGACTCGGTCTCTAACGTTGATGCTGAAAAGGAGTTTTAGTGTTTGATTTGAAGGGAGGTTTAAGGCTCGTGCCCAGCTCCTCCATATATGCGCTGAGAGAAATTCGAAAGATGTGTAGCTTGACTCACCGGCTCTGCTCGTTGAAAATGCTACCTTTTTTAACTCGTCGAGGCTAGCTTTGTTGAAAATGAACGAGGTGGGAACGAGTCTTTCATTGGAGAAACGAGACAGAAACCCGCAAAGGTCTGGAACTCGGTTGAACTCTGGGTGGTGATTCGGCGAGTTGTAGTTGTTACAGTTTCTCGATGGATGGAATGGTGGAGGGTTTAAAAGGTGACGATCCCAAACGGGTTTGGGTTTAAACTTGAACTCAGCCAACTTGGTTTGACTCGTTACGGAGGCTAACTCAGCGAACGAGTTTAAGAACTCAGCGCTGCCGATACCGTCGCAAAGGCAATGATTAAACCCGACACCAAGCGCAGCATTGCCGTCTTTTAGCCACGTCAGCTGGACTATAAGCGGTGGGGCCCCTTTCAAGACATCCGCCACGTGGACCGACAAGAGCTTCCTCCATTGAGTAACGAACCGCGGAGCTCTCTCCAACTCGTTAGCCTCGTGATCGGAGACAGCCTCGATGAACAAAACACCCTGCCCTCGACAAACAACCTCCAGGCCGCCGTCGGGCTTTGCCCTAACCCGACCCGCAAGTGGGTAGTACGGAACCAATGCCTTGGCCAACGCAGCCTTGACCCGAGCCACGGTGGCGCGTGGGTCTAAACCAGTAGGATTTGGTGGTTTATAAACCAGGAGGTATTCAATGGTGAAACGTAGAAAAAGCTGTGAGTCGAGAGCGGACAGAGAAAGAAGACGAGTTGGAGTCGGGTCAGATGGAGTAACAATAACAGCTTCTTTGACATGAACTAACGATCCCATGTTTTTCTTCTTTAAGCTCTTTGAGTTTTTCTAGTTAGGTTAGGGAAGCATGTGAGGCTGGTTATTGGTTTATATATAACTCTCGCCAACTCTCTCTTCGTATTCTCTCTTGATCCATTTACTTTTCTTCAATGCTTTCTTAGCACATCAAAAGAATATTCTTTTATATATTAAAAACTCAAATTTATTTTTTATATATTGTATAAATCAAACGATCTCGGTGGTTATAATAATGATTGTTATCTAGGTCTCGAGTTCGAACACATCGTATGTATGAGTGTTTGAGCGTTCATCGTCAAATTATTAATAGTCTTCCAAACATATGTTGTCTTATAATCAACTCAAACTAATATTAATAATAATAATAATAAAAACACTCGACAAATTCTAATATGAATTATACATAATGATGTTAACTGAGTTAAACTAATAGATAAATAAACAAGTTGATATTTTGATTATTTTAGGTTTAAGTGATTCGGGTTCAAATTATTTTAGATTTAATATTTTTGTTTGAGTTTTGGACTCGAACTTTTTAGGCCCAAATAACTTGTTCAAATCCTTCTAGACTCAAGTTATTTCAAATTTTAGTTAATTTTGAATTTGAATTATCAATTTGTTTTTTTCAAATCCTAAATCTAATCTTAATTCTATTGGAGGGAGAGAGAAAACTATAGGGTAAGTAAATTGAATGCTCTAAGCAGATCTAGAAGCCGTGACCTAAAGAAAATAACGAGATAAAGATGAGCAGATTAACTAACCATATCAATATATTTGCTCAATTCAAATTATCAACTTAATTTTGTGATTAAAATAATTTGTTGATAACGTTCAAAATTAATACATTATGAATGCAACAGATACAATAACGTGTATTACATAGACATGTGGATCTTTTTTTTTGTTTTGTGTCTTAACTGTGAAAGATTTTGTGACAAGATTCTGCGGGCATCACTTAATAGAAAAATAATCAAAACAAAATGTTAACAGCTTGGCTTTGCTTTCTGTCTGTTGGGGTCTTAACTGGGAACTGATAGCCATCACTTTCTTTTCCATCATCTTTTCTATTAATTTTTAATTAATTTTTTTCTTCTAAATTTGATGGGGAAATGTTCCTTTCACTCCTCCTAAAGGGGTTTCAACCAAACTCGGGACAATTTCAACAATAAGACAAGTTCTAAGATTATTGCCCAAATCTTGTAATAAATTATGATCATATCTTGGACAACAATGATTTCACTTCATGTTACTTATTTGAGTAGTCAAATTTTGTTTTATCTAGTTACTGTTTTCTCCGACATTCCAGTAGTTCATTCAAGTTATTGATGCAGCTATCGTTTTTGGTAACATTCTGTAATTAGTCCCTCTATTATACATAAATTAAAAATCCAATTTTTATACTCTAGCTTGTTTAATTTCATGTTCATATAGGAGGAGAAGTGGTTTTTGGTAGGGGTGGCAAATGCAAATGCAAGTGCAGAGGAACAATGGGTGGAGCCCAAAATTATTATGAAAGATTTGGAACGTTATTTTAAGAAGATGCATATATGTGTAATAAAAAGCTTTGGTGCAAGATAAAAGGCATGTGAAAAAAAAGTAGTGCCTGCATGTCTAACCATTTTGGACATCCATCCAGTTTTCAGTCCACACTGTTTTTGAATGGACAATTCTTTGTCCACCCATCAACCTTTGTCCCTCTGCTTTCTTTCTTTTCTTCACTTTATTTTTGTAGAGGGATTCTTCAAGAGAATAATGTAAAATATTGTTCATTAGGAAATCAGATTAATTTTTAATAATACATATTGTTTCGGGTTGAAAATTTCTCTCTTATATCCCCTATTGAGAGTCATTGTAGAATTCATAGAATACGAAATGCCTTGATGCTTGGAGAGAAATGTTCCCGTACAAATCGTTAGTATTTGCACACTACATATAGTTACAAACTGACTTTTTTTATTTAAATGTTTCGTTAATGATTACAAAATAATATATGTTAAAATTTTTTATTAGTTATTGACAATACACTTATGTACACATCTTACAGGCACATCTACTCCAACCTAATATTTCTAGGGAGAACAATAATATCTTTTATCATTGAAGTCACTTAATGGATTCTATGAAGTTATAGCATATATTCCATAAGATAGGGTACAAATCCAAATACTCGCATTTTGTATAGGTTAAACCACTTTAGATATTAGAACAATCTTAACCACATCAATTAGGAATCTTTTAGAATTATATTTCTTTAAAAGTTCTATTCTCTATTTATAGAGTTAATATCTAACAACAAACTGCAAATGAATTGTTTTCATTCTCCTAAGCAAAATTGAGAAAAATTACAAAGAATACAAAGGTTATAGTGTCAATGTCATTGTTAGTCGAGAAAGAGAAACGCTAGTCATTCTATCCTCCTTTTAATCTTTTAGGGTTTAGCAATCTTGTTTGGTTATGTCATTGATTATATTCTTCCCTAAACATGTGAAAGGGTTTGCTTTAACAAATTAAGCCTAAAACCTTTTTGTGTCGGTGCCTATGGAGAAAAGCAACGTATTGTCTCGCAGATTTGTGGCAAACAATTCGAATAAAAAGGATCATATGGTATATATAGGGTTTGGAGATACGTGCCAACCACAGCCAAGGCAGCCCTTTATTCTTCCTGTTGATATGGACTATATCTTTGGGATAATCGTTTGCCGAAATCTCCTATGATTTGGTGTTCATACATCTGTCACATTTTCAGCATAGCATATGAATTTGTCTATTCTTTTTCTTTTAATAAATTGAGGTGATTATAAGATGATATCTATTCAGAAATTTCTTAATTAATTAACAACACATACACCTTATAGACGTAACTGCTAAACTCAAGACCTCTAGAGATAACAACATTATCTTTTACCATTTAGGTCATTTTATAAGTTCAAATGCCACTATTCTTTTCCTAACATTTTTTTCTACTTCCAAATTAACACACTTCTCATGTCAAATTATAAAGTTTTTATATATAAATAACTTTTACCATCTGAACTTGATATCTTTGTTTAATTTAGTCGTTTGAACTACTTTTCGATTCATATAACTAATAACTTCATAAATTTAATCTTAAAGTATTATATTAATAAAAGGATTAAAAATGAAAACGAATATGTAATTCAATAGCTCATGTGGACAAACAAAAATTCATGGACCAAATTGATCTTGATTTTGATCTGTCCCATAAACACTTCTATATGTGTATAAATATAACATCATTGTCAAAGGTTATGTGTATTCATGTGTATAAAGCTGTATCGATGCATGCATTGTATGTAAAATTATTAAACATCAATGTCAAAGATCATGTATATGCATGTGTATAGTTTCATATATCTATTCGTATATTCTATGAAAATTTGATTAATAAGCGCATAATGCAGGAGGTCCATCTATATCTTATTCTTATCCAAAAGGGAAAAGTCCAAAAAATCATTAATACTAAAGAAAAAGAGATAACAGATGAAGAATATGTTTTTGTGCACTTTAGATGGAAAATAAGGCATGACCAAACTCTATCACTAAAAGATTGTAGGGCCTGAATTGCAAGGTACTAGTTGTAATGTACTCACCAATAATAATTATAATAAATTACAAATTTACTCACTAAATTTACTCTCTCTCCTATTTTACTCATTGTACTTTTAATTTTTTCAATTTAATCATTAAATTTTAGAGATTAAATTTCTTTGGCCACTAGATCATTTTTCACTAACAATGTGATGATGTGGATTGATGATGATGATGATGATGATGATAATAATAATAATAAAATACTTAAATTTCTACTACTAATAATAATATTAATTTGGGGTAAATACAAGATAGTATATGTTTAAAGATAACTCTCAATCATTTGACATTTAACTCTTATACCCCTGATATTCATGGTGCTCGAACTATAGACTTCAAAGAACAACGACAATTCTTTTACTATTGATGTTGCTTGGTTTGTAAAATAATTATTTATATTATATTATTGCGCAATAAATTGCTTTCTTTGTTACCGAAAAATCATAAAGAGATGATTGTTGGATGGTCCAAAGACATGATCTACCCGAATTTTATAGCTATTTATTTGGGCTTCAAGCCTTCAACCGCTTTTAATTGTTTTGCGCATTCGAAATCAATAAACAATAAAGCATTTGGAATAAGTAATCAACACATAATTAACGAAATTCTCACACCATGTCCTTTTAATTTAAGAATTATTATCCTATACATAGGTAGTAACAAAAATTGATTCCACTAGCGAGAAAATATTGATATTATTTATCATATTTTGAGGTTAGAATTTAGTATTTAAGTATTTGAGTTTAAAATGTTTAAATATATCAGATAACATAAAATAGACGTAATTATGAAGTTTAAATTTTACACAATCTATATATCAAATAATTCCCATCAATTTAAAACTTTGTTTATACGTGATATGATGTTGGAGGGTTAAGAGCGGTTTACACAAAATGTTAAGAGTCGCTGATGATGATTCTGTGAGAATGGGGAAAATGGACAGAAGTGGAACTAGAACACAGTTTTAGGGACAAAAATTGTAATTTATAGCGTCAAAGTGTAATCTAAGCATTTTATTGTTTACAATTTCATATCGTCAAGGGATTAAAGTGTAGTCAATCACTCCTTAACTTAAGACTTGAGGAGTTGTAAAGATTAGAATGCAATGAGATTTAAAGTTATAATGATATGATCATAGGATTCATGTGTCTAATCAAGACAAGATGGAAAGATTTAATTAAGGCTTGATGTCGCCAATAATAGGGGCATTGTGTGAATTAATTAAGACTAGAGAATTCATTTAGACAGCTCGCTAGGCTGTCTTTAAATTTGAGGATAATGTATATCTTAGCTTTGCTTAGCTGGGAAATATCAAGTGGACAGAACATGCAAACCAAGAGATGCCCTTTGCATGTCAAATCCATCAATTAAATTAGCTCTGCATATATACTGTAATTATTACCATTAACTTATAAGACAAGCGAATAATTTATGCATTTAACCCTTTAATTAATAGGGTAAGGTCAAACAATGATGCAAATCTCACCTAAAAGCAACGTAATCTCCATTAAGTTTTACTTTTCTAATTTTCATGCATGCTTAGCTTCTTTAGTTATTCGAATTATATTCTTCAAGGAATCAACCCATCACGTCTTTTCACATAATCTAAATTAAATAAGCACAGATAAATGTTTTGCTTTCTAAACTTAATTTTCTTCTTTTAGGTTCTGATACCGAATATTACTTCTAATTTTACCTTTATTTTCCTTTTCTTATATATAGAAAAAACATATGTTTGGATTATTGTTCTCTAATCCACCAATCAAGTGAATTTGGAAATTTGGATTTTAGAATGATATGATTAGACTTGATTTGCTTTCTACACATATGTTTGGATTATTGTTCTCTCATCCACAAAAGTGATAGTCAGGTACTAAATGTAATTTACCCATTAGAAAAATATAGATTTGATGTAACGAAGTCAGAAAAAAATTGAATTATAAAATTTCATGTGGGCTGAAATAGTGATTTTACCATTCATTGTGCTAAAACTTCATGCACTCGAGCAATAATGTATGGGTTTTTTTGCATTTAGGGTGGTTTCACATGAGAATTTATGTTGTCAAGTATATTGTTTCACCGTCTACAAGATCACTCATTTCCGTCAAAACGAATGAAATAATGGCGCTTAAAACATGAGTGACCCGAACTTTTGAAAAGGGAAAAAAGTCATAATCAATCTTAATCCAACTCAATTTATGAATATCGGTGATTACCAGATAAATCTCTCCAATAAGTAAAGTTTTGTAGTATATGTATAAAATCCCACCAATTTTGGTTGGATAAATAACAGGGCAGCAACAAAACATGGCAAAAGACACCAAGCAAGGAATAGTTTCTTTGGCTCAGCTCCCAAACAAAGCTAATAGTGATCATATAACATGAAAATCTTCTACTTTAGTTTTTCTCATCAACAACAGATCCACGATTAACACATATTCCATCTCCCATCTTATCTTCAAAGTTTCTCTCATCAACTTTTCAATACGAAAACTCATAATCGAAATGACAGGGAGAAACGGAAGAAAAAGCAAACATTTGCACCTTTCTATCCCCATAACACCACTTTATTGTTTTCCCTTCATTTTTCCGAAGACGCATACACCATGGCCTCTGCGGTTGTCACCTTGAAAACTAAACTTCCTCCACGGTCCTCATTGTCCGTATGCAACTCGTTACATGTTTCACCTTCTTCACTTGTCTACATCGACTCTCGATTCCATCTCTTAGTCTTTTATGCAGCTCATCATCAATCAAATTGGTTGCCCCTGCTGAATTCAGTGCATCACAGATTAACTTATATGTATACTCTCTTGGGATAGAGCCCCCAGCAATCAACTCACAAAGAAAATCCTTAGCTTCCAACACTCTTCCAGCTTCACACAGAGCATGTATAATCGGAGTATGCAAACTGTTTGTTGCTACCCCATGATTCATCCGTTGCATCTTCCGGAGCATCTCGATACCTTTATCAATCTCGTTAACAACACAATAGTACCTAATGAAAGAATTATACGTGATCCGGTTTGGAACACAATTTCTTTTATTCATGTCTTCAAAAAGTTCCAAAGCCCTTTCGATTCGATTCGTCTTACAACAACCATCGATCAAACAATTATAAGTCACAACATCAGGAACAAAACCCTTAAACAACATCTCACGAACAAGTGATTCGCCTCATAAAGCCTCCTTCGAATTGCCTTTCGACATCCGGTTTGCATACCGAACTTACAATAAGAACTTATCAAAATCGTGTAAGTATACACATCTGGTGGACATTTAAAACCAGGTAGCTCCATTTGTTCCAACAAGAACCTTGCTTTATTAAAATTTCCCACTCTACAAAGAGCATGAATAATCACATTATACGAGACAACATCGGGTTTGCAATGAAACTGCTTCATTCTATAAAAGCAAGCCAGTCCTTCATTAACCAACCCTTCTTCTCCTAGGACTTTAATCAAACAGGTGATGGTCGAAGTAGTAACTAGCCTCTCATTTTCAATCCTAGACATTTCCTTTAGAAACTGCCATAGACCGTTCAAATTATTACCTTTAGCTAAAACCAAGGCCATTTCTTTGCAAGTTTTCTCATCATGGGAAAACACGAAAAAGTTTTCTACCCAGAGATAGAACTCCATTGCTTTATGTAATCCCAAGGCTACTCTTTCTGGGTTTCTATAAGCAGCAGGTCCAAGGACAAGAATATTGTGGGAAACCTTAAATTTCTCTTGTTTAAGGTTTCTTTGCTTTAAAGGAGCACGGTGGCGAAAACCCCTTTGGCGGCCGATGGAACGAGGGGATTGAAAAAAGAACCTTGGAACGGATCTTAAGATGTCTGAAACTGAATCAGTTGTCCATGGATTTGAGATTGTTGAAGAAGCAAGTTGAGCATCAAAGGGTCGGTTTTGAAGCATAACTGATATTACTTGGTGTACTATGCCTTGCAATGGCTTTGTTGGAAACATCTTTTGGACGGGTGCCTGAGGTTTTCTGTCTTCCTTCACATATCAGATAAAGAAGGAAAAACCTTAAGCATAGCAATCCGGCGTGTGTATTCGATTGAGATTTGCGAGGGACCAAATTGTATATTTTCAAAACTGTGAGGGGCCAAAGTGATTGGCCCTTTCTTTCAGACCCCAGACTTATATGACTTAACTGACATAAAAACGGTTTAAAAAGGCTGCGAATTTGTTCCAAAATTCCAAAAAGTAACGCAATGGCGAGTTTCTTCATCATCACCTCACTCCCTCTCCGTTCTCCGATCAGTCGGACACCCTCCACGTGACTTCTCCGACGATAGTTGCATTCTCCGCCCACCTATCTCACCGGAAAACGAGAGTTCCTTCTCTATCCCTCTATCCAAAATACACACTTCATGCATCTCCACGTGCTTACTCCCGCGGTCTTTGCATTCTCCGACGACTTATCTAACAGGAAAAGGAGGGGATTGGAGGTGGTGACACGCGCGGGTGGCAGCACCAACAGCTACGTGTTCGCGGCGGTGTTACCATCTTCACTTCTATCAAGATTGCTGATAAGCTCGACAAAGACTTCCTTGAAGATGTAAGAATCTAAAAAAAACATTTCTTTTCCCTCGTTATTATGTGGGTTTTTTTATGGGGTTTCCGAATTATCCTACTTTTTTGAATTGAATGCTTAGTTCTTTGGAAATTTTGAGCTTTTATTAAAGCAGCGGTCGTATTCGGATTGTTTAAAATATGTTCTTTTAATCAAATTGTTAAGTTGCAAGAATTTAGAATCTCTCGAGTATGTAATTGCAATGGCCATTAGGTGTTTGATAAAAGTTCGCAATGGTGTAATACATATCGGCTTTCTCAATTTCTGCTTTGAACAATGCCTCTCTTATACTTTTATTGTTATAAGTATTTGTTCTACTCATAATAATTTTCTTAAATCTTAATCTTACGTTTCATGGTTTTCGTGTTACAGCTCGCTATAAATCAGGCAGCAAGGGAAGCAGAGGAAGATGACGAGGGTGATTATGTCATTTCATTGGACGAAATAGTTCAAGAACCTTTGCTTCCACGTACTAGAAACCGGCCCAAGAGGGAAGTGTAGGCATACAGTTTCCTGATTTGCTTCATTTGTATTTGGTATTAATTGTATAATTCATTATCAGAGCGTGTGTAAACTCATAGAAAGAGCCATCGAACAATCTAAATTTGCTTTCTGAAAATAGAAAAAACAAAGAAGGGTTTTCATAGAGCTCTTTTTGTTTGTTCTTGGGAATTATGTTACATAGCTTGTGAATGAATCATGATAGAAAATTTTAACCATTTGGTGACAAAAGTTTCAACTCCTTGAAGAAATGGCTGTCAGTGAAAGAGAAGAATATTGCAGTATACGGTCTTCTTAAGCTTGGTAAGCAACACAGTCAGTGTTTGAGTAAGGAGGATGAAGCTTTGGAGGTGGATGACGATGAGAAACACTGAAAGGATGAAGTGGAAGTGGTGAAAGTTCGGGCCATGGAATGTATCGTTGAAAAGAAAGACCCTGATGCTGTTTTCTTACGTGAAACAAACGAGATATGATCGAATGCGTTACGGTAGATTGATATTTGAAAATGTTATGGAAGGAAGGTTTTGAGCTGAACTTGTTATCCTTCTCTTCTAATCAGATAAATATGTAGAATGGATTGAACACGGAGGTTTTTATGAGATTTGTGATAATGGGTGTAGGCAATCATCCTGGGCATTACTTGGGTCAGTAAAGAATGAAGGTAATCTTGGATAGTTTGTGTTGATTTTAATGAGCTTTTATCGGATTCCGACAGGTGGAAGGGTGTGATGTCGGACCTTAATGAGACTTTAGATGAAGCGGGATCATGGATTTAGGGTCGAATACGGGTTGTTTACCTAGCCTACTTACACTCATAAATTTGTGGCTAACGGGGGATAACTCAAAAGGTAATGTTAATAGAGGTCTGCGTGTTCATGTACCACTTAGAAATTGTTTCTTTTTTATTTTTTTTTTTGTTACAAACGGAAAAATAAACAACGATAAGTCTAGAAATTAACTCACTACAAAGCCTCTGGGGAAGGAAACATCCCTGGAATCAGCGTCTAAAAAATGCAAGATCTTTGTCGGCGGTGAGTCGAAAATCACAAGCTCTTCTTATGTACTGCATCCTATCTTAGAGAGAACATCAACACAAAAACTTCCTTCTCGATAACTATGTTGGAAATTGATTTCCTAATCAAGTGCTTTCAAGCTCCGGATATCATTGATAATGGTACCCAAAGGATGGAAATATTTGTCCCCAACATTTGTCAGTTGTAAAACCACAAGAGCATCTACCTCACATTCAATCGCTCTATAACCATACTTCCATGCAATCGATAATCCAATTCTTATAGCATGAAGTTCAGCAGCCACACTCGAGCAGATATCCAAATGTGTCGAGAACCCCAAATCCACTCACCACCTGCGCTTCTCATAATGCCACCAGCACCTGATATGCCCTGATTTCCTTTGGCTTCCATTTGTAGGAGATATCCACGCCAATGTGAGTATTTGGCTTCAGAGTTGGTTCCTTATAAGTTAGCAAAATGTCCTTCGTTATAGAGATAATATTGCGCCAAAGCCTGATATCATCATAATCGTTATCATCGGGTTCAAAGATTCTTTTGCACCGCACAGTCTTAAATCATTTCGCATGCTGTTTCTCATTATGTTTTAGCAGTAAATTTCGTATCATTTTTAACCTAAGTTGAACCAACCAAATGTGTCCATACTAAAGTTGTTTTTATGATGATACTATAGAGTTTCCATAGCTGCCATGTTAATGTTGTCATATAGATGCTTGCTTGGCATGTAATTTTGTCTCTGAAAATGACTGAAGCTTTTGCCCTGTCTTGGCCTATCTTTTTATATGTTCATAAACACACAGTATGCACGTGAAATGTTTTCTTATGGTGTACTGCTATTATATTGGATCTTTTACTAGATAGAGTAATCAAAGAAGGGTGAGTTCAATTCATCATTTCTTGCACATAAATCAGTTTGCTGTAAATGTTTTATTGGAGCATCATGTTGATAGCACGAATGTATTATCTTTATCGGTCCCTCGGCTCTGAAGAGAGTTGGGAGGACCACTTAGTGCCTGAACCGACGAAACCATGGTCATTGAGAAACAAGCGTATTGAAAGGCTCAAACTATCTGAATTATGTCATGCTTTCGGTCTTCAACAGCCATGGTTTCGCTTGTTGAGGCACTAAAAAGTGTCGTTCGACTGCTATGGTTTTGCCTGTTGTTAATCTACAATAACTCGTATTAATCACTTGGGTCATGCTTAAGATTCCAAATTTTGTTTGGCACAATGGAAAGCTAATAATCACTTGCATTGTTGAATTACAATTGAAAAGATTCTCTGAGACTTTCTTGCTGTCAAAAACTCTCTAGGAAAATTACCAGAGAGGCGAGAAAGGACAAGGTTACAATGAGTGGGGGACGTTAGTCATAATTAATGCTGGGAAAGAATTAGAAATACTGAAAAACACCATGTGAAACTTTACTAATATTTTTGGGGATTGCCAAAGCTGTTTGTAAAATTTATAATTTCACCTGTCCTTTGAAATGACAATTCTTCTGAGAAAATTTACTAATATTTGCTTTGCGTTTTTTTTTACCTTATACTAGAGGAACCCCCCGGAAAACTCGAGCTTGATGATGATATCTGAACAAAGATTTAAAGCCAAGTTCTTCATAGATAATATTAATATACAAGGGAGAGACAATAGGAAAGATGCTATTTAGATATACGGAATTTGGGTTAAATATGTGCATCTTGATTCACTTCATTACAAGTCTGGCTAAAACTATCCATGAATCCACCGCAAGCAACCGGGAATTCGCCTAAAGCTACCGTCCTAAACCGATGGGACTCGGGATTACTGATACCTGCCGAATAGGTAGTGGCATACAGAGACAAACGAGCTCTTGCGAGGGCCAAATCGTGTTGAAGTTGGATCATCTTCCTCTGCAACAAAGCTATGGCACCAATGCAACCGTAGACGGGGTCTCGAAGCCTCGCTTCGGCTTCGTAGGCCAAGGAATTCACGATGTCTTCTCGTTGCTCTTCGGTGACTTCAATCAGGATCTTGCTGACGTTGCTGGCCCCGAAGACTTTGTGGACTTTGGCGAATTTCTTAGGCTCATCGGATCGAAAATGAGGGGCGAAGATACAGTTGGGAGTGCATCTTCTTTTCCAGAGCTTGCAAGCTGCACAAGATGACGTGGAACGTGCCTCCTGACTCCTCATGCCTTCATATCAAACACTTGTTTTTCCTATTATCTAACTTCAATATCTTTCTCATACATCCTTTTAAATAGCCTCATCAAACCTACCTATTATAATATCTCCCTCTGTTACCTCACTTGGATACACACGTGCTAATAATGATAGATTAACCTTCAAATCAAAATAAGCTCTTAAAAGAAAATGAATGTGTATATATATGGCGAAAGTGGGGGCTAGAAATAATTGCAGATGTGGGCACCATTATAAATATTCATGGGTGAGGTTTGGTCGAGAAATGACATGATAGTCCCTAAGATAAAAGATAATATTTTGGTGTGATTCGAAAGAAAATAGCTTTCACAACAAAAGCATTCAGCCCTAGATTGCTTCCTACCCCTTTCTTATTCCCCATATTGGAACTCAACTCACATGCATTCTCACTCAATTCTCCTTATATTATATGATATGGTATTAGAAATAAAATTGTTAAAAGCAACAATCACGAATTTTGAATATAAATTATATAAATGTATAAAATATTTTTAAAAATTTGATATATAAGCAAAATTAGTGTTAGAACATCATTTAATATATTTTCTTTGATGTTAACTCATTTTTTATATAATTCATTCACTAATAACTAATCAATTTAATTTACTGTAAAACCAAATTAATTATCCGAATTGAATTATTTAGAGTTTTTAACAATCAATGTACGTAGGAATGAGTCAAGAAAATGTCATTTCAACAACTTATGTGACAGGTAGAGGATAGGAAGAAAAGAGAAGAGATACGATAATGCTTGGCAGTGAGCCCACTTAGTTTTAATGAATGTCCTTTTCTCAAAAAACTCAAAAAGGAAAATTAAACTACAATTGGAAACAAAGCCTAAATGGGAGCCACACGAGCCGTCCGATCGGAGCATAATCCCTGACATCGGGTGACTCTTGAAAAAGGCTTGTTTTTCCAATAGGTGAAATGTAAAATAGGTCGGTCTAAGATTTATGATTGGTTGGAGATAGAGATGAAGTAAATTTTAGTCTTAAATGTCTGAATTTTTTAAATTTAATTCCTAAATTTGTTTTTAGTTTATATTAATATCTTAATTTATTTTTAGTTATTTTAGTGATGTGACATATTAAAGGTATAGCATGTAACACAATTTTATAGTACATGTCATTAGGGAGACTAAAATGAAAAAAAAACATATTAAAGGTATGTCATGTAACACAATTGTTAGGTATGACTCATAAATATACCGGTAAAGAAGACAGGGATGAAACGGAGTGAGTGAAATGAACATTAACTGTCATTACGAAGAAAGTCTCGTAGTGGGGTTACGATTATTAATTTTGTAATTATGTACCAGATTTTTTGTATTATAAATAGAGATATAACCTAAACCTAAGTGATATTGAATAAAACTTCTACTGTCGCCTAGGCACTGAGGACGTAAACAAATTATTGAAATTTGTTAAAATTCTTGTATTTTTTCGTTTTTCTTTACCCGATTCATCAATAACAATTTTATAGTACATGTCATTAGGGAGACTAAAGTGAAAAAAAAAATACCAAGTTAATGGACTAACATAATCCATTTGTGAAAGAAAAAACACAACTCTTTCTTTAAATGAACATTAACTAAAATCTTTAGATGGGACTTATATTCAATTCAAAATTCACATTTTTACTTTAATCTATATGTTTCTTATATGGTAAATACAAAATTTTATTTATTTGATAAAAAATATGAACATTTTAATATACATAATAATGAATAAAATTTACATAAAAGCAATTTCATTATATTGTTATCTATATTTTTCTAACTATCTTTCGACTTTTCTTTGGAAAAAAAAATTATAAAATGACATTTATTACATAGTTGATCGAATCCAATAATAATGTATATTATAATGAGATGAGATTTTGTCTCTAACTCACCGAATTAAAAGTAATACAATAAAATGATGTTTTTATTTTTTTTATAGGCGGTTTGACCCTTTTTTCCTATCCTTTATAATATTTTTAGGATTGAATTTAACGTAATCACGACTGATTAATATGATATTTATTTATTATTTTGTAAATATCTTCTGCTCTAGATCCTTGAGTTGGACTTAAATACACAACTTGTATTTATAGATAGTTTTTTCACGACACTCAATTTTAATTTGTGATTGTTGGTGGGCTTTTAATAGTTTAATTCCTATTGTGGTTCCTTTGCCAATCCAGACATATTTGTTTGTATCTATCTTTTGTCGAGTATTTTAGATAGATTTTAACATGTCTTTGTATAATTTTTCTATGATCTCGAATGACTAATTATCTTATGTTATTGGTCATAAAAATATCCTAATTATGTTTAATTTCTAAATTTTATTATAATTTCAAATATTTTAATAAAATTGACGATTATATATAAAAAAAGTAATACAATAAAAACAAGGGTAAAGTATAGTAATGATCACTGAACTTTTCTAAATCTTTCATTTAGGTCCCCCAACTTTTAAAATTACAATATAATCCTCTAACATTTAGTCCGTTTGCAATATAGCCCCTCAGCACTTAGTCCGTTTGCAATATGGTCCCCGGCGTAACTATTGGGGACCATATTGCAAACGGACTAAATGTTGGGAGACTGTATTGCAAGTTTTAAAAGTTGAGGGACTTAAATGAAAGATTTAGAAAAGTTTAGTGACCATTACTATACTTTACCCAAGAAATAATTAGAACTATTAGGTGGTTTGATTATGATCTCAGTCCCTGGACTCCTCAACATTTAAATTTTAATTTATTACTCATATTTTCTAATTTTTTTATCTCAAAGCTTCATGTTTCATGCATCGACAAAACAACAATCTTGGTTATTCATGTTTGTATCGAACTAGCGATCCATATTTCAATGATGGACATATATGAAAGAGTTGTAACATACGATGGAACAATCTTTGATTGAACTTGAACGCGTGTAATTCTCTAAATCGACACGGAAAGGGATGATGGGAGCACCGACGATCTTAAGCAATGTCAAGAACTCGTTGTCGGAATTAGCGGGGATAGACGTTGAGCTCTCGAGAGATGATTGAGCTTTCATGAAATTGCGCATGTTTTGCCATCTTAAAATCTCATTGCTGCCCATCTTGGTGTACATTTCCTCGGGTATAGGCACTTCCAGGACGGTGTCCAGGCCTTCTTCGTTATCAAGGTTAGGCTAAAGCTTCATAATCATAATTGAAAATCAATTCTCCGAACGCTCCGATTTTTTTTTACCAAGAATGAAACAGGTTATCAGGTTTTAGAATTTTGGGAAGATTTTTATAACTATTATTTCTATTTAATTATGAGATTCACATGTATTAGTATATATATATATTAAGGTTCTTTGGTTATTATCTTTTTACTATTTGTTAACTTTAATTTTTGTTTTGAATTTAGCTAAAAATATACCAAAAAGAAAAAAAAATCGAATCTTCTAAACTGTAAAACGCAGATGAATGAAAATCTCATGGGTGGAATATGAAAATTTAAGTATTAGCATATGTTTCAGAGTAAGTTTAACAGTCGGGATATACGGATTCTAACCACTTACCTTCATCAGAATCATTACCGTAAACATCAATGTTAATTAACTAATAATTTGCTTCCAACATTTTCATAACAAAACTACACAACTAGAAATCAAATTACCCTGAAAATTTTAATTATTTTTCATATATGGAAAGGAAAAACAAATGTCCTTATTTTATGATATTCCTTTCTGTTTTCTGTTTATCTAATTCTATTGGTATACATTGAGTATTGTATAGCAGTGAAATTCACTAGGACTCTCAGTAATTAATTGTGTTCTTTACTATTTATGGGTTTGAAGTTTATAGGAATACTACATAAAATTTAGATGTGATTACAGATAGATAGATTTAAGGGGATGAGTGAGGATATCTGTTCCTTTAAAAATTTTAATTTATAAGTAAGATAATTCATTTTATATGTTATTCAAATAATTATTATATATTCAAAATACTAAATTAGGCAATCACATTTTCAAACAATCATTAACACAATAAGTATTAATTTTAGGGTTAATATGTATGAACATAAACTTCTAACATAAATTATGGTTAATTATTTTAAGGGTAAAAGTATAGTAATGGTCACTGAACTTTTCAAAAGCTTTCATTTAGGTCCACCAACTTTTAAAACTTGCAATATAATCCCCCCAACATTTAGTCCGTTTGCAATATGGTCCCTCAACATTTAGTCCATTTGCAATATGTTCCCCGACGTAACTGTTGGGTGACCATATTGCAAACGGACTAAATGTTGGGGACTTTATTATAAGTTTTAAAAGTTTGGAGACCTAAATAAAAGCTTTAAAAAAATTTAGTGACCATTACTATACTTTACCCTAAAAACAAAGCAGTTGGAAAAGTAGAAAACAAGAAACCTAAGAGTTGATTAAAATAAATGTTTGGTCTGATTTGACTCAAGACAATTGAGTCCTTCCAGAATTAGTAGGTGGCTCAATTACTTTGTCCAAATTTACAAAGCCTTTTTTGTTTTATTCTTTTTCCCAATCTGCTAATCGTAAAAACAATTCAAATTATGACTTACACATTCCATGTCTGATTTGATCTCAAACATTAGCAAAAAGCTTTCAAGAAACTATGCATGATAAATTTGACTTTTACAGTCTTTTTATTTGGGTTTAATTGTATTCTTACCCTTAAAACTATATCTTATTATTCATTTGATACCTGAAAAACTTATTTAAGTTTGGCTTTGGAGCTTTCCTTCCTTTAAGCTATGTTTCTATTTTTCATTACAAAAAAAGTTATAGTATGACATAACATGTCACGTGACATACAATATATATATTATGTATGGGGACTAAATTTTAAACTTTCAAATAGTTTAGGGACGTGAGATATAGTTAAACCTAATGACTATTGTTTGGCTTAGAACCAAATTAGAGTATATGAACTAAATCCCACTGCTTACGTTTAGTACAGAGAGTATTACAAGAATTTCACCATCTTAAAAGCTAGCCAACAAACACAAGAATTGAGCAGTGTCGTTAAATAATTGAGTTTTGTGAATAATAAAAATGGTGGGGAATATAACTAACCCTTCAAACCAGGGGAACCCTCCAAGTGGCAGCAGCCTAGGAAGACATCCACTGGCATCGACCTTGTTGTCTTTTTCTTCTTTGTACAGCCAGAAACAGTCAAAATTTCAGACAACTTGTTTAACAATTTCCTTATGTCAAAGCCCAAGTTGTGTCTAAGCTTGTAATAAAGCCTTTTTGACAATGAAAATCATGGCGATGATTATAGAAACCGAGTCAGGAAGATTAAAAAACAATGATGGGATCTTCTGGTTTTTTGCCATCTGGGTCTTTGTTGGAATCATTGATTCATTTGTCCAATGAAGTGTCTTCAATCGAAAAGCTTCCGTTTGTACAAGGAAGGAACATTTCGACAATGATAAGGAGGATCAAAGTTCTTACATCTTTGTTCGAAGAAATTAAGGAAACCAGCAGTACTACTACTACACAACTCCCTCCATCATCGGTGTTGTGTCTCACCGAGCTTTTCTCGGTGATCCGTCGAGTTAAAGTGTTGATGGAAGGTTGCAAAGATAGTAGTTCCCTTTGGGGACTGATTCAGACAGAGACCACATCGAATCAGTTCTTTGTGTTGGTGAAGGAGATTGGTCGGGCATTGGATATTTTGCCTTTGAGTTTGCTTAATGTAACTGCGGATATCAGAGAACAAGTCGAGCTTCTTCATAAGCAAGCGAAACAGGTCGAATTGTTCGTCGATCCAAGGGAGGTCCAACGAAGGGATGAGCTTCTCAGATTAATGGCTTCCAACAATGATAAGAACAACCGATGTTCGATCGACTTCAAAGTGGTGAAACACGTATTTAGCAGCATTGGTATGAGAGGTTCGTTGGATTACGAGGAGGAAATATCGAAGCTTGAGGCTGAAGCACAGAAGCAGGCCGGTACCGGTGGATTGATCGTTGTTTCCAACATAAACAATCTCCTATCACTCGTTTCTTATTCAAAATCCATGATTTTTTGTGAAGAAATCGAGAAACATGACAACAAACAGCCTAGCGTTTCCGTAAGTAGAAATATCGATCGGTCTTCGTCTTCTCAATCCATGTTGTTTAATATCCCCGACGAGTTTCGCTGTCCGATCTCACTCGATTTGATGAAAGATCCTGTGATTGTATCGTCGGGGCATACATATGATCGGAACTCAATAGCGCAATGGATCAACACCGGACACCATACATGTCCGAAAAGCGGGCAGAGGTTGATTCATATGGCCCTCATACCCAACTATGCACTCAAGAGCTTAGTGCATCAATGGTGTCAAGAGAACAATATTCCACTAACAGAATGCTCCTCGAATGTGTCGGAGTCGGAGATTAATAGCAAGCAAAAAGCATCTGAGAAAGCCATTGATCACATTTCTGCTACGAAAGTGGCCATCTATTCTGTCAAAATGACCGCCGAGTTCTTGGTCGGGAAGTTAGCTATGGGTTCCCTTGATATCCAAAGGCAGGCAGCTTATGAGCTGAGGTTGCTTGCGAAAACCGGAATGAATAATCGCAGGATAATCGCAGAAGCAGGAGCTATACCGTTTCTCATGACAATGCTAACTTCCAATGATCCGAGAATCCAGGAAAATGCTGTCACTGCCTTGCTTAATCTTTCCATTTTCGATAACAATAAAATCTTAATAATGGCAGCCGGTGCTATTGGCAACATAGTCGAAGTGTTGGAATTGGGGAAAACCATGGAGGCAAGAGAGAATGCAGCAGCTGCAATTTTTAGCCTGTCAATCATAGATGACTTCAAGGTAGCCATCGGAGCTCATGCTCGAGCGATTCCAGCCCTCATCTGCCTCCTCAAAGAAGGGACGACGACCGGAAAAAGGGACGCCGCAACAGCATTGTCCAACCTCGCACTTTATGGTGCTAACAAAGCAAACATTGCGGTTGCCGGGGCAGTTCCTTTGCTGATTGAATTGTTGATGGATGACAAAGCAGGCATAACAGATGATGCCTTGGGAGTGTTGGCTCTACTCTTGAGTTGTCCTCAAGGGCTTGAAGATATTAAAAACAGTAGAGCTTTGGTGCCTCTTCTTATCGATCTCCTGAGATTCGGATCAGCCAAAGGGAAGGAGAACTCAATAACACTTTTGCTCGGGTTGTGCAAAGACGGTGGAGATGAAGTCGCGAGACGGCTTTTGATAAATCCACGAAGCATTCCTTCACTACAAAGCTTGGCTGCTGATGGATCTCCGAAAGCTCGAAGAAAGGCCGATGCACTGCTTAGATTACTCAACAGATGCTGCTCGCAATCTCACAATCCTGTCTGATGACATGACAAACTTCTCAGAGTGTAAATCTGTCAATTTCGGATGAACAACATGAAAAACATATTTACTGTAAATGAATCTCAAAGCTATAGCTTGATTCAAATCATCTTGATTCTTCAAAACTACAACTTTCTCAATAAATAAAAAACAGGTAAGCAGATCGAAATGAATACACGAATATATTGATAGAACTTTTACAGTGTTTGCTTACATCTTACATTATACGAGTAACGCAACTACGGTAAGGAAAAAGAATGTATGTGCTTAGAACTAAGGCCGGGAATTCATAATTTTCTCGACGAATTGAATATTTACTATAACGGAACATTCTAGTATAAAAAGGTTAAACTTATGTTCAACCAATGTGAACTAAAGTGGTCGAAGCTCAGTATTCGTGAACCATGATTCACATAAAGCAACGCAATGACTTTCACAAGACCAATTCGAAAAAATTCTGAGTGCCATTAATATTGTATTTCCAGAACCAGCTTCTGCTATCCATCAAATTCGGTGGGATAGGGTCCAACTGAACAGCAACACCGAACGAAAACGGAGGATAATAGAGGTGACAGTTTGCAAAATCCGGAATACACTTTCTGCCTGGTAACCTCCCAAACTGGTCCAAGTGCCGGATGAAGAAAGATGAGAAATGGAGGACCAGAGTCTACATACTTATCATTACTTTCAACCTGCATGATTAACAAATTTATTGCCCATCATAATGAACAAATTTAGAAAATGGAGTAAATAGATATGCCAAATGTGACAATCCAACTCAGTAGATTCAAAAAGATTCCGGCAATATGGGAAATACCTTGAGAATATCAATACCAGGCATTCTGCATGATATCCAACAGTGAACCGTCAGGAATTTGCACTTGAAATCAAACAAATATGTTTCTATAGAAAACGAGGGTGCTTATGAAGAATATACAAAAAACTACCTGGTGAAGCGATGTGTCCATAGGTTTTCTTTTCTTCTTAGCAGATGATGTAACCCTTCTCCGTTCGTTATAAACAATAAAGGTGTCCAATTTATCTGTATACACACACACATGTAACTGTGATGTTAACCAAATGATAATGTACAACCAACACGAGAAGTCACAGTTGAACTCAACTAATACTGTACCTTCGACATCCTTGTAACATCTAGATGGATATGCATTAAGAAAATTATCTGCAATGTTTGCATAGTGCACTCCAGCCTGCCACCGGGGACACTGCAATAAAGGAATCCAAGTGATGTTACATGTTTTGGTTTTAGAATACGATCCATGAATGGCACTAAAACTATCTATCCAAGCAAAAGGATACATGCCAAGCACCTGTGCCTGTTTCCGAATTAATCCATATATACAATAGACTTCTTTGTATTAAAAACTATGCCAGGTAAACTTCGTTCATTTCTTGCCGATCCAACCAACTCCGCAGAAGGTAAATCCACATAAAGAATGTTGGTATTGGCTGGGAACTCTGCCTGCAAACTTGACACAAAAATGAGAGATTTCTGACTTAGTTGTTTGAAAGTAAGTGTTTGAAAAATGATAAGTGATAACCGCGAGACCAGATAATAGCAAACATAATAGTGTACCTATTAGGTGAAGGACGTCCACTTGTGATTCCGAACTTATTGAACTCAGTGTATTCAATGCATGAAAGACCATATGCCCACTTCTCATCGAGATTCTTCTTCTCGATTAGAACATTGATTCCTTCTGTAGCCCCAATGATCCTCTTGCAGGACACAAACCTGAGTTTCTGTTATAACTAGAGTCAGTACAATAGAAGAATAGCAAAACACCTAAATATATCGGTGTTTCTTATCATGAGCATACCTTCCCATAATGTAAATCGATCCCTGCCAATGCCAAGATCACATCCGTAGCAGCCACATTACTGCAAACACATCGATGCGATTCTCAAATTCAGCAACTAATACATATCCTATCTGCTGCGAACAAGTTTCAAAATATAGTAATTATGCCAAACCTGACTTGCCAAGCAGTAGCACCTTTCCTTCTGTGATCATAAAACCATTGAAAGATACCTTTGTCATAAGCAAGTTTCCATATTACGCCATGCCCACCGGGTTTGCATACGGGCACAAATGGTTTTCTGACCAGCCATTGCCGTCTTCCGCACTTACAGTAGGGACTAGAGGCTGACAAATTTAGACATCAAATTATTAATGAGCACGATATTCACTAATGATCATCTAATAGTTTCTACTGCAAACTTGTTCAAAGAGTCGAAAATTCTCGTGGCCTCGTCCAAACCATTCAAGTCTTTAGCAAAGTGACGTGATATGCTTGTGGTTGTTCTTAGCTGAACTTGTCATGATCGCAACCGGAGTGATGCATTGTTTACCATACAGCTTGAAATACAGAAACTCCCTAGCCTTGCAATCATGCAACAAAAAAAAAAGACAACCAAAGTCATAAATATAACATACCTGAAGATCTCTTATAAGACCTTCCAACAATGTCCTCCCGCAATACGGAAGCATCGCAGCCGGAAGACATTCATCGGTTTCAGAATCAACCAAGCCGAGCCTATCAGCTGAACCTCCCAAAGGATATTTTTCACCCAAGTCTGGCAAACACTAAAACAGAAAAAAAAATCTTATTATTCAAGCAAAATTTGTACATAATCAAAGACACTCGCATTGGCACTAACCTCAATCCCCCATAAAGCTGCTTGAGATGCATATTCAGTGTTTGAAGAAAGGTCACATCCAGTAGGTGGATGAATTTCCAAAAACTGGCATTCCTTTGATTCATGAATTGTTGTCTGAATTTGGGGAAAGGAGCTCAAGCACCATTATCTGATATCTGTAGTAAAGAATTATACTTGAAAACTCCTTATAACACTCCAAAACAATTAGAATAACTTACCCTATGATTCCACCAATGCAATCGTAAAACTCCTCAACTTCTCCTAAAACCTTCAACAAGTTTTTAAGTCTTGAGTTTCATCATGAACCAAAACACTATCGTTTCGACCATCGTCCGAGTCCCATTTTTCAATCATTTCGACCAACGAATAGAGCGCAGTCTTCACCGGACTTTCCACTGAATTCCCTTGTCTTTCTTCGAAACCAAAACAATGTGGAGAACATGGTCTTGACCGGCTGCAATCAAACATATAACGAGAAACAACTCGTTTAAACCCAAACCGAGTGAACCATTAAACATTTTACAACCTAGGGACTGCGGAGAAAAACAAACAGGAGAGCTGAAATACTCAACTGTCAAACATGTTCCGTTCCTACGTGTCTTTTCTTTGTGGGACTGCGGGGCTCAATAGGCAAAATTTATAGGCTTTGATTACTACCTTGGGCTTACCTTTCTTTCAACTCCACAATTAACTTTTGGATCTCAAGTCTAGCTTTCATTAACCCATCCTTTGTTTTATATATAAATTTCATGATCCGACAAATATGAAATAGAGATGATAATTTATTTTTTAGTATAATTATTGATATTTAACTTATAAATTGATTCACAAACTCCAAGTCTCCTTTGACTTGGAGTTAAAATAATTATTGTTATTTTTTGAAGTCTTAACTTTGAGCATCGGCAATGCTAAGAGTACGAGTTGATAAATGTCAAATGGTTAAAAAGTATTTATGAATAGATACTATCGTGTAGTTACCTAAATTAATAGAAAAACTTCTAATTTTTATTATTATTATTTAATAGAAAGAGATAATAAGAGCTAATTAAAAAACATCCATGGGATGAACAACAAGGGAGCAGCATCCTGATCCAGCAAGGCGTGAATGGACTCTGGGGGTTCGTCATGAATGAAGAGATCATAAAGATGGTAGGAACCGAGCTTAGCCATAAGGTTGTTGGCATGGCGAGGGATCCAGGTGATATCAGTTACCCACCCACGGCGTCAGAAGGAGTCAATATAATTCTTATTATTTAATACTTATACTTTAAATAACTTAAATTGATTAGAGAAAAATCTTATTACCATGATATGTGATAACACCAATTTTGAGACAACAATTTATGCTTGACATGTAACAACTTTAAGATGTACAAAATTTATTTATCTTTAAATACGTGGATGTATCGAGGGAAGCGGGTTGGAGCAATCATTCTCTTACAAATTTTAAATTTATATATATATTTAAATTATTTTATTTTTTATTGAAAATATGTTTTTAACCCTCTAAAATTTTATAAATTCGTCATTTCTTATAATTTTATAAATTCTCCCCATTAACATAAAATTATACATTTGTTTATGTAAATCAAATATATTCGTTGGTTTTTAAGGTGAAATTACTATTATGATTTACTATATTATACTTAAAATGTAGAATTTATTGGTTTTTCCACTTTAATCATTTTATATAATTGATGAGATGTTGATATGTTTTTGGGCTATGGATTCAGACTTTAAAGAGTAGGATGGAAATTAATTGTACATGAGAAATAAATAAATGAAGTGTTCTCACAAGACTTTGGTTTGGCATGAAGGCCAAAATTGACGGTGAAATTTGGACAAATTCAATCTGTGATATTAATACAACACAAAAAGGCTGTAACGAACATTTGCTATAAATGCATGCATAGCATGGCTCCCCTATACACACAACACGATACCACCTGTCGGAGAAAGTCTAGGTTGGGAAGGCGTCTTCAAGTGCTTGTAGGAGTTAACACTTGCTCCTGATACTCGTATGAAACGATTCTAACAAGTTGTATTATCAGTCAATGGATTATAGCAGCAAAAGCATCGTTGTGGGCTTATAATAACTTGGTTTTTTCAGTTAATGTCATCTAATGTTTTAAAACTATCCAGTTTTTAAAGTATTAATCAGGTTTTTCTATCAATCTAATATAAATCATGTGTTCATTCAGCTAACAACTTGAGTGTCACTCTAGCAAAAGGACAGACAACAAATAAAAAAGAAGAAGCTGCAGCAGGGATCTCTCCTTGATTCCCTCTAACACAGTTCAAAGTCTGTCCTTGAAATTATAATATTTTCTTAACCACTCTTAATTTTATTATCCTGTTTTCACAACACCATGACACTGCTGTCTTTTCCTTACAGTGGCAACCAAGTTTCAAAGATGCAACTAGCTCTCCAACGAGCATATCTAGCAATGCTAAATTTTATTATTTTTTCTCGGAATCCATGCACAAACAAACAATGGAAACTACAAAAAGAAGAAAAATGAAACGAAGTGGGGTATTGATTTGATTGATATTGACCTTTTGTATTTCGACAATGATTCACAATTGATTTTAATATAATATCGAAACAATATATCTATATGAACATTTGATTTTATAGCGTGGAATTCAGACACAAGTACTTCAAGATCTCACTCAGAATTGTCTCATTCATAAAGTGAGATCTAGAGTACTTGCTATTGTCGTCCTCGCCTGTTTCTTACCATCACCACCACTGAGCCTTGAGAACGATGAAGAAGAAGAAGCCAACGAAAGAGAGAAAGTGCTATCATCGAACCCTTTTTCAACTCCATCATTGTTTGCTGTCGTTGCTAGTTTCAAGGATAGGTTCAAATCTATGTCTTGGTTAATGTTGTTGCTCTCCGTTGTCTTCCTCTTTAGTGTGCCTCGATGCGTGAAAAAAATTGAGCACATTGTTCTGCTTGGCCTGATTGCTTGTGTTGAACTAAAGCTAAGTGAATTGTTGTTGTTGCAGCTTTGAAATAGCTTCTCTGCAACTGAACTATACACATTTTGACCATCCCTAAATAATTAGAACGAAAACTACCGATTAATTGACCCTACATAGCATTATATATAATCAGTACATCAGATATTATCTCGGTAACATCTTTTCATACCGCGAACTTGAAGGATTCCAATTATTGAAACCGTGGCTCATGGGAAGATAGCTGAATTTGTATAAATGGTGATGATCTCCACCTTCAAAACGAAGCCCTCGATCCGACATAGCTGCAATATTTATAAATTCTCATAAACCTTGAAGAAAACCCTATGGATTGAACGAATTAAGCTTTTACTTGCCTTGATTTGGGTCATCAATCTTCTTGCTTCTATACATCTACCCAAATAAATTCGAAAGGAAATCGAGATATTTAGTTAAAAAAGGATCTCTCTAAATTCAAAAGAGTCAATGAAACAATTTAGTGAGATGACAGAGAAAAAAAACCTGTAGATGACTCTTCACATGAGCTATGCTAAGGCCTTTGATGTTCATCAATTGAAGTACCAACTTGGGTGTTGCTCCTGTGCCAATAAAATCACACTTTTTTAGTGCATAAATCAGCAAGAAAATTCTGGGTTTGTCAGGCTTAATCATCTTACTCTCTTGTCCTCCTAGGCTTTCAACTGCATGAACAAAGCGAAGATGGAGATCGGGAGTCCACCGGAGTCTCGGTGTTTTTGAACGGTTATACGGCCTTACGGATCCGGAAATAGTCTTCTTTCCATTTTCTTCAACTGAGCCATTGCTCCAGCTCTCTCCGTTTCTCGGCTTGTAACAGTCGTTCTTGTCATCTTTATCTTTGTTGTTGCTGTTCAGGCTGGTCCTGGAATCTTCGAAGCTATCGAAACTTACCATATTTCAACAAACTTGAGCTCTCTTTGTTTGCAAGTGGATGATCGAAGAAGACTTAGGGTTTGAAAGTCATTCAGAGTTTACCCAGATCAAGCAAAGAAGGGAATGAATATTTAGACTATTATTCTTTAGAAAAAAGAACTCTAAGCCCCACTTGCTTACTATATATATTCATATGACCTCCATGTAAGTAATTAATATTTCATATTAATAATTAATATTTGCTTGCTTCATGGTGACCAAACTAAACTAATTATAATGATGATGAAGAAGAAGAAGATGGTGCCAAGTTTACCAAAAGAAGACCGTTGTCGTTCAATGGAAATTAATTAATTACATAAATATTTTAATATTAAAATATATTTATGTTAATTCCATATTATACGATAAATAGTTTGTGATATTAAGCTCTTGATTAGAGGGTGATTAGATAAGGGTTAATTAATGAAGGCGGACCCTATAAATGCGCATTATAAGAACATCCTGTAGACTGTTGGTTGGCTCTAAAAGAAATGGTTAGGGCTTCTCAGCTCGTGACTTCTCTAATAATAATATACACCGATATACATAACATATTGAACGAATAGGTCAAATTATGGTCACAATCCTTTTACTCTTTGCATATTCAAAATTTAATCCTCTACTTTTAATTCCAGGAGCTTAGACTCTTTGAAAACACCAGCGAAGGAATCTGCTGCTAAATAAGAAGTGTTGAATGTGGAATTGTAAGATTCGTTAGTATTGTTTCATAGAAATACAATGAAAGTCCATATCTTTTACATATTAGTTTAACACTTTACAAATTTCTAAGGACTATATCATAAATCTATTATGTTGGAGACCAAGGCCCAAGTACGGAACTAAAGAAGTGGTGGGAGAGGTCATGCCCCAAAATTTTTAGATATTGTGACAATTTAATATCTATAAGACGAAGCCAGATTCGAGTGGGAGCGATGGCTGCAGACGAAAGGAATGTGAAAATTGAGAAGTTGAATGGTGCGCTCACGACCTTCTTAGAAGGACTTAGACCAGGGGCAATGCTCGGGGGAGAGCAAGGTGATGCCCATAGACTTTCGGAGGCCATAGTTGTAGATGGAAAGCTGACTGAGCTTGCAGGTGTCAACCCAAGTAGCGATGTGTCGTCCAGGCCCATGCCCAGAGATAGTGGCAATAATGGGGGAGACCGGAAAAAGGTGCAGCGGGGAGATGGTAGAGGAAGCTCTTCGAATAGCCAATGTGACCCATCGACTGTTCGTAGCCAAGGAAAGCCATCGGGAAAGAATGAAAAGGCTAAGCCCGGTGTGAAGAAGAAGGGGAGCAAGGAAAAATTGAAGTGCTACTTCTGTGATGGTCCTCATTTGATTAGAGGATGTCCCTAGAAACATCGTCTTACAACTATCATGAAGAGGATGGGAGAATGAGAAGTAGCGGGAATTGGCGTTGTTGCAAGTGTTAAAGCTGCCAAGCCAGGGAAAAGACTTGATCCGATTGAGGGGATCAATGCACCCAAGCAAGGAACAAGACATGGTGCGACTACAAGTTCTCAAGTAGTCAATCCAAGATTGAGACGTGACGAGACTGTGGGTATCAAAACAGTCGAGCATAATAAGGGACCCGTTGCGATAGCGAGAGACAAAGTCGTCAAGCCGAGGGTACAAAGTGAACAGGTTCGTTCACAATATGCCAGGATGGAGGCGTGGTCCAAGTTGAGGCATCTCAAGCATAAAGGGACACTTAAGGAGTATGTGAGTCGATTCAGAAAACTCATGCTCAAAGTCCCAAGTATGACAGAAGAAGATGGGTTATTCACCTTCATGTTCGGATTGAAGCCATGGGCGAAGAAAATGTTGGAGCGAAGGGAAGTCAAGGAGCTGTCTAAATCCTTGAAAACCGTCAAGTCCATCAAAGAATTTGGAGTCAAGAAGAACAAGACTTCTAAAGCAAAGCTGAAAGCCGAGGGTAGCGGCAAGAGATTTTGTAATGAAGGCAAGTCAGATGATAAGGAATGTTGTTCCTCGAATGGCAGAGAAAGTCAACTCAATGATGAACCAGATGGTGGATCTGGAGAAGATGTGTGCAGTCTTGACACAAGTTCAAGTGTCAAAGATGCTAAGCCGAGGGTAAGAGTCGAGCAAACGAGAGGGCGCAGACTTAAGATGCCAGAAGTTTTGCAAGATTACCTGAGGGGAGCCGAGTCATCCAAGGTGATGGATGAGCTTAGGATCGAGTTGTCTAGAGAAGAGGACGAACCCAGGATCGAGGAGGCGTTGAGAGTTGGCTCAATACGGTTCATTTCTTCCAAGACAAGTAGAAGCCAAGTGCAGGAGGAGTTAGCCATGTCCAAGGAGTTTGCCGAGCATGTTCGAGTAGAGAACATGGATTCAGAGACCATCATAAGAGAAGGGTCGAAGCAAGGGCTTGCCGAGGATGTTCAAGTGAGGAACAATCCTTCAAAGACTAGTGGACAAGAGTCGAAGGGAGCCAAGACGTTGAGGGACAAGGCAACCACGAAGAAACTGCCCATTTTACAAGGTGGGATGTGAACTCCAACCTTCGTGTTGAAGGGAGGAGGCAAGAAGAGGCATCAGACTTTGCCGTGAGAAAGTGCCGATGCATGATGGCATAAAGAACTCCAATGACAACGGTTCAATGCGAGGAGTGTCAGACTTCAAGAAGTAAGAAGGGTTGACGCAGATCTAGAGTAACAAGACTATAAATGTTGTTGTATCGATCGAGGTGTAAAGACAGATTAAAATCAGTCTTCCAGTAGGAGATTGTTGGAAAAGTCAAAGTTTAGTGCAGTTCAAAAGTCCTAATTTGCTGCACATTTGATTTTTAATTTTGGCAGCCGGTTGGTGAAGCCCACTTCTGTGGAAAATAGAAATAGGGTTAATCATATTTTAGTTCCTATACACTTTAGGGTATTTACAAGATTAGTCCTTAAGCTTCAACTATAAATACCCTAACTCATTTAGCTTCATGCTCATCCCAAATCATTTCTTTCTCCCAATACTAGAGAGCTTCCTTGTGAGTAGTGAGTGTTTTGTAAACACCTATAAATTTTCTCTCTTAGTAAAAGATCTGCAGCAGTCCGGAGACGTATGCATTATTGGCTGGACTTCGTTATCAATTTCGGGTATTATTTTCTGCATTTATTTCGCATTCTCACTAATCTGGTTATAGGAAAATTACTTATTATCGTTTATTTCCCAACAATGGACCACTCATCACTCCCCTATTTTAAATGTTTAACCTATTAGCTTTTTTATTCTAAGAATAAGGAAATAATCATAATATCATAGATAATCAATTTTTTTATATACAAACACCCTAAACAGTATTTAAGACTATATATTATATATTGTATGGTATAATATGATAATGTTAATAAAGATTGAATTTAAACTTTGAAGACGATGTTATTAAAAAAAATTCCAATTACAAACTTTAAATATAGATTATAAGATAATATAACATAGAGAGGAAAATGATGTAATATGAAGATGTATATCCTTGCTGTTTATTCACATGATTTGATGAAATAATGCCCAAACTTTTGACAAAAAGGTTGTTTAGGTGGACGTAACATTAAATATTTCTGCATGAAATGAAAAAACCTTATATTCCGATTCCATCCTCGTGTGTCCTTTCTTTAATTAATTTCTCCCATGCATCTTCTTCTTGCATGACCATAGCAGATAGCTGCAATTCAACTTCTTAAATACTCTAAAACTGAAAAAAGGTTGTTCTTAGGGTGCACGGGCATCTCGGGGGGGGGGGGGAGAAAATCACAGCCGTCCAACCTATGTTTTCCCCTGGGAAACCAATATTATTATAAGGGGTAAAGCAAAGTTTAGCCCTTAAATTAAGCAACTCGAAGATGTACTACTCTAGGACTATGATATGTCACATATTTATAGTGTCTTATGTCATCAAAATGATAAAAAATCTTAATCTCGAGACTAACATGAAATCATGAATGAAAAACAGTTCATGGACTAAACTGAAAAAATTGTAAAGTTCATAGACTAAAAGTTAAGTTTATCCCTTATTATAGTTATTAGTTGGTGATTATAGTAGGAGCTGAACGTTGTCATAGAAATGTATATATATAATATAATATTATATTTAGTAGTAGAATTTATGTTTGGCCAGTTGGGGAAGAACAATTACACGCAATTTGTTGCGCATTGACTGGTGGGAAGTATTTACCCTATGCTTTGGGGAATTAAAGTTAAATTATATGTGGGTATGCTTTTAAGTTTTAAGCTTTTAATATGGCGCACGGTATGTAGGATTGTGAATGGAAATTTTACTCTTTTTTTGGGTTATATAATTCTGTTGATAATATGATATTATTAATAACATAAGATTCGATGATATAATCATCTGACCTTTGGATTAATTGACATTAATTATTTCAGTTTGATAAAGATTTATCGTTAGAAACCTTGAGAATATAACAACTTTAGATATTTGATGAAAAATCAAATTAATCTTTACTTAAATCATTAAATAAATAGATGAAAACACTTATAATTTTAAAAAATAATAATATTTTATTAAAAGTGAAATTATGCTTTGATTGTCTTTATCTAATAATCTATCATTTTTTTGAAAAAAAAACCCGAAACAAAACAATGTTCATCAATTCTCTAACATGAAGATACGAGTATTTTTCTAGTTTGTCCAAAGGTGAGTATTAAAATGAATTGAAAAGTTGAAACAAAGAAAACAGTGACAGGAGAGGGCAAAGGCGGTTGGTGTTATAGCTTGTGAAAATTATTATAGAAGGGTTTGGTTTTTCTGACAGATTCTGCTGCAATTTCCCAACCTGTAAAGTAAACCGTGGTGGTTACCTTTGTTTTTCTATGTAAATTTTGAACGTGCATGAGAAGACGTGAACCTGTTAATGCGGATCTACCATCGGGAGGATCAGAATATATAGGATGTTTATTTATCTTAAAGAAAACAGGATATCTGTCTTTGGATTCAATATTTACTTTTTAAAAGTTCTAGACCTGTTGTGCTTATGTATATATGTGTATAACTACTATATAATAAATGTTTAGGTTTCGAGTGTCACCATTTCAAATCTCAAGGATCCTTCAACTTGCATCAATTCTATCACGATTCCCCTATTTAAACTTA